TCAGGGCATAGGAACTTGAAGCAACTGGCCACCTCACATCCACAATCAGGAAGTAGAGAGACGGATGCCTCTGCTCGTTTGCTTTTCCCTTTTTGTAGTCTAGATGCCAAGCTTGGGAACGGTGCCCTCCACTCTTAGGGTCAGTCTGCCCAGGTCAGTTGACCTTCAAAGCAAGCCCTCCCAGGCGTGCCCAGAGCTAAGTAATCCCTCACGTGTGAGCCCAGGCTCATCTCCTAGGCCACTCCAGATCCTGTCAGGTTGACAGCGCTAACGCTCGCAGTAGCCGTGACCTCAGAAGAATACTTTGCTTGGCTATGGTTTTGTTCTTTTCTTTACTAAGCGTGAAGATATGAGCAAGCACATGGGTTATTATGGTGACCGGATTATACCTACTGCAACACCCCCCTCGTGCGAGGCGTCAAACCCAGGGTTTCATGCACGCTGGGGAAGCACCCCCAATGAGCTGCATCCCTGTCCCGTGACCGGATTTTAGTGTGCATTTACAATAAAGTTAAGTTCCTTTTGTGAGAAATGTCTTTCTACATCAATGAGTGAAGGCACGAACAGTAAAAGAACGCTTTGTTTATTAACCATAAAAACATTTTTGCTTTTTTATCTCAGGACCTGGACTGAGTCTCTGAGTTGAATCAGGCTGTGAAAGAACAGCTTGCGTTCAAGATCCCCGAGTCCCAGTAATTCCAGAAATCTAAATGGAGACTATTACCTGGCAATTGAGATCATAATAACGACAGCTCATAGTTCTTGAGGCTTTCTCACGTGCAGACACTATGAGTTTACATGTTATTTCCCCAAAAACCTCATAACTATCATGTTCCTTTGTGTTACTTTTCTATGGCTGTGACCAAACACCATGACCTAGACGACTTATAAAAGAAAGCATCTAATTAGACGTGCAGTTTCAGAGGCTAAGAGTCCATGATGATGGCCCAAGGGCATAGGGACAAGTTCACAGTTTGAGTCACCAGTAGGAGGCAGAGAGGGAACACTGGGATCGGCAGGAGTCTTCTGAGGCCTCAAAGCCTACCCCCTAGTGACACACCTCCTCCAACAGGGCTAAACCTCCTAATCCTTCCCAAAGAGGTCCACCAATGGGGCTTGAATGAACATGAAATTTAAGCCTTGGCAATGCTGAAGCACGCATGGGCAGTCTGTATATGGCGGTTCTGTTGAACTTGTCCATACTGCATTTTATTCACGGTCTAAGTTGATGAGGACAACCGACCAGGTCTCTCTTTCTCAAGAGGGCACCAGATCTCATTACAGATGGTTGTGAGATCTCATTACAGAGGGTTGTGTTGCTGGGAACTGGACTGAGGATCTTTGGAAGAACAGGCAGTGCTCTTAACTGCTATGAAGCCATATGAGCCCATGGCGGTAATTCTCATCTAAACCGCTGCATCCTTGTTTGGCAGACAAGGAGAAAGACATGAAAGATATAAACTTGGCCAGAGTTATAAGACCAAGGGAGTGGGGGAGCTGAGCTCACGCTCATGCAATTTACTGCCAAACCCACGTCCTTAAACCGTTGAACTCTTCCACACAGCACACTTTCAAGAAAATCCATGTAAGCTGGGACATGGTTCAGCTGCTCAGGCAGGGTTTACCTTTTCTTCAAGGCGGAACATGTTTGTCTTGGTGCCCGAGAAGGCATGGTCTAGGTTCTTCAAGATCTGAGCAGCTCTCAGCTGGTTCAGGTAACTGTCTCTTAAATTCTATGTCCCTGCCACAGAGACAGGGATTAGAAATGGGAATTCTGAGAGAGAGAGAGAGAGAGAGAGAGAGAGAGAGAGAGAGAGAGAGAGAGAGATATTTTATTTCCCCCAAGAAGTTGTTCAAATCTAAGTGCGGGCGGGATAACTACTTTCAATCGCTCATTCATTCAGGCCGGCTCCGTCACTTGTTTGACCTTGTTTACACGGTCTAAGAAGGTCATTCCCGGGTCAACTAATCAAGGCCTGCCACCTTCTCAGAAAACAAGACCCTGACTGTAAAAGTCAGATTAACCCGGTTATTATCTGGCTTGCTGTATTTGCACTGGCCCTGCCCACATGTGCCCACAGCACCTCATCGTTCCTGTAAACGTAGGCAACTCTGTATGTTTTTTTTACTTGCTAAACAAAAGCCATTAAGTATTGATTTTTCTTCAGAGAGTGCGCCAGAGAAATTTCCCTTAAGGATTCGAGCGAAAACAGTGAAAGTATTGTTCAATACATCATATTTCTGGAAAGGCTACCACTGGCTTTTATTAGACACATGGGCTGAATTCCTTTAAGCATGCTTTTATTCCTCTTACAGGACTGGATTTGTTTAGTGTTTGGTTTTCACTGTCATCTTTAAGGAATCCGTGCACGGTAGCCCAGGGGAGGGGCCTGAGGCCTGCGCACAGGACAAGTCTCCAATCCGCAGGTACCATCTAGCCACACCTGGGATTACGATTATCTGGCTGGGCTAAACAGAGTCTTGTGACAGCTAAAGTAAAAAAAAAAAAAAAAAAAAAAAAAATCGTGAAAAAGGAAACCAAACCTCTCTTTAAAAACAAAGTGCCTAGCTATCTCTCCTCCCTTGAAAACTGCCTTTGCCCCATCTCTCACTGTTTGCCTGACCTCTGTGGGTATCCCAAAGGCAATAATACACTTGCTGGAAGATTCAAAGCTAAAATCCACAAATGAGAGAAAGCGTGGGATCTTTATCTTTCTGAGCCTGTGTTCCTTCATTCAGAATGATTGTTTCCAGCTTGATCCGTTACCTGTGAGTTTCATGATTTCATCTTTCTTAATAGCTAAATAATATTCCATCGTGTGGCTATGTCACGCTTTCGCTGTCTGTTCATCAAGGATGTAAAAGCCAGAGGCCACGGGTGTTGGAAGGCAGCAGTGTGGGCAGCTGCACGTACGAACCCTCCGCGACGGTGCCGACGGCTGCTTCTGTTGTGTCTGGAAGACTGTTTCCTTGGAGTCACCCTCCACCTCCGGCTCTTGCAAGCCTTCTGCTCCTTTTCTTCGTAGGTCTCTGAGCGTCTTGGACAAGCATGCAAAAACCAGTAATTGCGGTGACATTTCCCATCCTGCCATGTGAGACTCGAGTCCTGCCTGTCCCCATAACGACTTGAAAATGAGGAGTTACTGAACAAAGCACTTGGGAAGGCTTGTAATTTCAGCTAATTAGCTACTGCATTTTAAAATTAGTTTGAGAAGTTTTGTACAGTGTGTTTCTGTCATGCCCACCCCTCCCCAGCCCCTCCCAAGTCACCCCATGACTCTCCGGCCAACTCTGTGTCCCCCGCCACATCCATCTAGTCCAGTTTGCGCTGCCCATCTTTCTTGGATGTGTGGCCTTCCACCAAAGCGTGGTTGACTTACCAGAAGCAGCGTCTTTTTTCTTTTATTCACTGCTGATTTTTTCCATATTTTTTTATTTGAAATTTTTTTCTCATACAATATATTTTGATCATGGTTTCCTCTCTCGCAACTTCTCCAGCATCTCCCCGACCTCCTTACCTCCCCACCCAACTTCATGCCCTTAAAACAAAACAAAAACAAAGCAAAAGATGAAAATCAAAAGAAGTAAAAAAAAAAAACCAATAGAACAAAAACTGCCAAATCAAAAAGAAAAGTCTGCAAAATAAAACAATATTTTATTTTTTTAAAAAAATGTTTATTGATTGATCAATTTATTGATTTATTTGAGACAGAGTCTCTCTACTTATAGCCCTGGCTGTCCTGTAATTCACTATGTAGACCAAGCTGACCTCGGACTCAGAGATCCACCTCTCTCTGTCATGGACCTCAGGACCTGTGGCCCTCCAAGAACCTTCTAAGCTTTTGGTGCCAGGTTGGGACAAGTGAGGCAGCTAGCCTTGAGAACTGAGGTTCTTAGCCTTTCAGACGTAAAACAAATATTATTATTTTAACATAAATTAATTTAAATATATGTATTATATATGAATAGATATCATATACTAATTTGTAGTATATATACATATATACATCTATCATCTATCTATCTATCTATCTATCTATCTATCTATCTATCTATCTTCTTTTCCTTGAGAGAACCCTGACATCAGTATCACAATTGGGATAAAAAGAGAAATAAAATATCTTCATCTCTAGATAAGATGGATTGTTTCCCTCAAACACACTCATCAGTTTTTTTCTCTTACCTTAATAATTGTGATATAATGTTGAATCAAGCAGGAGAACCAGAGCTATATAAACTGAGAGACCCTTGTCAACCCCCGGTTTCTCTAACCAACACAGAGGACAGGATAGGAAGACATGACAGTCACCATCACAGGAGGTGATTGCCCCTGGGGTTTCAGGAATGTGGCTGCTGGAGTCTGGAGGAAGGCCTGAGTTGATCACAGCAGACAGCAGACAAACCCTTGGAGATTCGGCCTCTGAGTTCTTCCACCAGCTTGAGCTCCTTCAGCGGGAAGGAGACGATGCTGGAGGGAAGCCTCCACCTTTTCTAGACTGCTAGTGTCTAATTTTGGTGGCTCATGGGTGTTCACAGGGCGAAAATCTACCATTTTCCCAGACTCAAGAAAACCAAGTTCTAGTGAATTTGTGGTATTTCGCTTCTCCTATGTTCACGTGAAAGATAAATTCTCTGAGTGATGCAGAGTTCCGTACCAAGAGACAGAAAGAAACAAAAGCCAGGCAAATAACAATCTACAACAAAGACACCAAAGAAACAAATCAACCAGGGGCCAAGTTTACCCTTTCCAGAAGAATTCTCTACTGATGGTCGATTTACAAAATGTTCTCTTAACTAACAGGACCCTCTGTGGTGCTTGGTGTGTCTTCCTTTTGCAGAGACCCAGTTAACATGCGGTGTTTTGAAGGCTCTTGAATATTACAAACTCTCGTACTTAGCAAGGGTACAGGCAGGGTGCGCAGGCTACCTCTATTTTTCCTTGAGGTTTTAAATGAAATCAGTGGCTCCACTTACTTGTCTCAATTTTATTTTCCCATTAGGAAAGAACACGGCTCAGACGGATGTGCTGGAGGAAACGCACCAGGAAATCCCAAGCAGGGCGCAATCAGTCACCATTAATGCCCAGAAGGATCAAAGCTACTTGAAGAAATACAGCCACTTACGGATGGACGGGAAAATTGAATTCATGAAGCCATGCCTTCTCCGTGGGCGATTTCCCGGAGCTGAAGCACTGGAATTGCACGCTGACCGTGAGTGCCAGGCTTTCCCCACTGCAGTTAGCACACTTTAAAGAACAGGTATTGAATTTTAGCTGATTCCAGCATCATCTTTTTCAACTCTATAGACAGCTGTTAAACCATAAAACATTTTGAGATTTAAAGCCCTTGCCTTGCGAGATTTTTTTTTTCCCCTCTAGGGTCATCATCTATGAAATATTGTGTGAACAAATTGATTACTTTAAGATGGGAAGGTATTTAGTAGACATCTTCAAGTCGGTATTAAACCTTTTAAAAACCAATGAAAAGTTTGATATTTAAGGAACACTTGCTTAACCTATGTAACCTATAGGTAGAGTAATTTGAATCTGACGAAAGCGGATCAGAACAACACAAACCATTTGATGAGGGCATTCTCATAGAATTCTAATGGAACTCAAATAATAAGCGTTTTCATGGTTTTCTTGCGTGCTTATTTTTAGTCTTGGATTCTGCAAGTTACTAGTTAGCTGCTCGCACACATGGGAAATGCGATTCTCCTCTTGTGCAAACTTGGCACAGTGCTTACCTCTCTGCTTGGATTGCATTTGCGTGTTCATTAATGTAACCGAAACGTGTAGCTTCCCGCGAGTTTTCACAGGCTCGCTCCTAATCAGCTGCTGGTGTTTGCCCACACGTCACATCAGGATAGCCAGGCGGGGCTAGTTATTGTTGAAGAGGGACAAAGTTATGCAGAGGAAGGGAAGAGGAGAGGACTTTCGGCTCACTCCGGACCGATGCGGATCCCAGAGGGCTGACTGGAGAGCCAGGCAGCAGTCATTCTAAGCCCTCAGCTTGAACGACTGAACTGGGGTGTCCGAAGAGACGTGATGTGGACATCGGCCGACATTCACTCCAGAAAGAGGGTTCATCTCCAAGAGACGATAGCTATCTTTCTTCCCCAGCTGGTCTCCAAACTGCAAATCAAAGGGACTTCTGGTCACCTAAGTGTAGTCTGGGTATTTCCGGTGTGTTTGTCAACATCATTGACAGTGATGTTGCAATGGAAAGGCATAGAAGAAAACAAGGCTTCTGATTTTTCTCAGCCTCTGTCATCTGATCTGGGTGAGTTAGTCTGAGGGCACTTCCTCACTGGGCCTGTGTATGATAATTACACAGTCTGTCTTTGCAGCCAATCAGGATATGCTTACACGGCTTAAACAAACTGACCAGAAGTTAGAAATTATGCCCAATGGTGATAGTCAGTAAAATAAAATTAGAGAAAAATTTCCAAGTTAAACGAAATGTTCAAAAACTCATTTTTTTTTGTCTTTTATAGATTGGGTCAGAATAGAAAGAATTACAGAATTCCTACTCTTACCTACTCTTATGTTTGCTTTGTGCTAACCTCATTTCCCTGTCTGATAGACTTGGTATGTATGCCCAATGAGATAAGGTCATGGGCATCCACAAGCTTTTCATTTAAAACCTTTTTTTTAAATGTATACCAGGTTAGCTTTGAACTCATGACCTTCCTGCCTCAGCTTTCTAAGTGCTGAGAATACAGGTGTGTGTCACCAGTCCCAGCTAAAACTCCACCAAAATTGCTCTTAGTGGAATTAAATGAAAATGATTTGGTTGGCCAATTTGGTTGGCATCCTTCTTTCCAGTAACACCTTTTATTATAATTATTGCTATTATTATTATTAAAATTTTGTGTGCATGAGTGTTTTGCCTGCATGTATGTTTGTGCACCATGTGCATGTAGTACCCACGGAGACCAGAAGAGGGCATCAGATGCCTTGGAACTGAAGTCACAGATAGTTGTGAGTACCCACATGAGTGCTGGGAATTGAACTCAGGTCCTCTAGAAGAGCAGCCAGTGCTATGAACCTCTGAGCCATCTTTCTGTTCCCATCCCTTCTAAATACATTACTTTCTTTTGGAAGTGACCAGTAAGTGAACTGAGGTTACAAAAAAATTAGACCCCAAAAGGTACAAATTAGGAGAGACTGATTTCAGACTCTAAATGACTTCCAAAGATTGCTAGGAGACATTTTCCATCTATGGCACTCTACTGGGATAGGTCCTGATGACCTGACTAATTTAAACAAAACCTTAGATGATGACAAGGACTTAAATAGTCTCAGGAAATTATCAGCTGAAGCAGAAAGTGAACCCTGGCTAAGAGCTAGCTTATAATAATTTTTTTGGAGAGATTAACAACTATCCAAAAAGAAAGATAATTCAACTTATAAAGATAATTAATTGCATCATTCCTCACATAGTAGGGGACACACCAATAACTGGAGCCCCTACATTCTATACTGGTGCAAATCAATCAGGAAAAGCAGGTTACAAATCAGAAAATTTAAGTTGAAAAAAGCCCTTATGATTCTGCCCAAAAGTCAGAATTATATGCTATTTTCATGGTACTTAGGGATTCTAAAGAACCTCTTAACATAGCTACTGATTTGCAATATGCAGAAAGAGTTGTTTTATATATTGAAGCCACTGAATTTACAACAGATGATACTGAATTGACTTTATTATTTATTCAGTTATAAGATTCAATCAGGAATAGGAAACATCACATATACATAACACAGTCTGATCCTAGATGGGTCTGCCAGGTCCTTTAGCACAAGATAATGCAGCAATTAATAAATTATTGATTGAAAATGTGCTGAGGGCCTCAGAATTTCACAATAAGCATAATTTCAATAGTAAAGATTTAAAAAAGACTTTTCCATCATGTGGCAACAAGCCAAGGGAATTATAAGGAAAATCCTGCTTATTCTTTATACAACCAAACACTACTGCCTGCAGGAAGTACCCCAATAAGTACTCAAAGGAATGGAATCTGGCAGATGGATGTGTTCCATTTTTTTAGAATTTGGAACACCACACCCTTGATACCTATTCAGGGTTTCAATGGACAGCTGCTTTGAGTTTGGAAAAGGTTGATTCGGTAATCACACATTTGCTAGAAATTGTGGCTGTCATGGGTATACCTGCACAAATAAAAACAGACAATACTCAAGCTTTATGTCTCTAAGAAAATGAAACAGATTTTTTGTTTATTATAAGGTATATTACAGGTATACCACATAATCCTTCAGGGCAGGCAGTTATAGAAAGATCAAATTGAACTCTAAAGAATATGTTAAATAAACTGAAAGGAATAATAAAGACCCCCAAAGTGGATTGCATAATGATTAATTAACTTTGAATTTCCTAAGTGCTAATGAGAAAGGAACATCAGCTACAGAGAGACATTGGGTAGTAGAATAAAAAAAACTATGGAATTAAATCAGCTGATATACTGAAAGATGTACTGACTTTAGAATGGAAACCAGGATATTTATTATGTTGAGGAAGGAATTTTGCTTTTATTTTTACGGGAGAAGAAAAGCTACAGATACTATCAAAAAAAAGAATAAATGGCATTTAAGCATTTTTAATAACATAAGTTCTTGTGTATGACAATGAGGCATGTCTGCTGCTGGTAGCACCAATCTACTTCAGAGAAGATGATGGGCATCAGAGAAACTCCACATGGAGTTTGCTTTCTTTGTGACAAAATAAGCCAATGGGCAAGAAAATGCCCTTGTCTCAATGGCTGACAGTATGCTGTCCTAATTGGACAAGAAGGACACAAAAGAAAATGACTGCCAAACTTGTCAAGACAAAGAGGGTCGGCCCTTCAGAATACCCTACTTCACACATCTGTTGGACATGCTAGGCCTATAGGCCAAAGATGGATGCCCTAACATTGGGATCACATGCCTTTAAAACCAGCACGAGGGAGGTGGAGACAGGGGCAATAGGGCAGGGCAGGGAGAGGAATATAAAGGGGGAAGAGACAGGAACTCAGTGGATTGTGGAGTCTGAGGTTGGTGGAGAGTATTGCAGGATCACCCCTATGTTTGTCTGAGCTTTGGTAGAGGTAAGATCTCTCTAGTGGCTTAGCTGCTTTGCTTTTCTGATCTTTTAGGCAAGATTTATTTATTAAAACACAGATAATATACCACTATAGCAATAACTGCTGCCCTCTACAGAGAGAAGCACCACTGTCTAGGGCTGAGATTGGTGCTCATCTATGGGTATAAGCATTACTATGTAGAAGGCAGCTTGACAACATGTTCATTTAGTAAGACAGCTTACAGTAGGAGGCATGAATTCCCTCCTACGGAGCAGAAAGCAATTGGTTACTCCAATAATAGTCATGCCATTGTTGTACCATAGACACATCTTGCCTGGCAGGTTAATTATAGAACGCAGGGTTTGAGTCTAGTTAATACCATTGGTGCCTTTTGTTCTCTGGTGACTTTACAGCATGTTCTAGTTCTATGAAGGCTAGCAAGCAGGGAGGACGTTCTCAGGTCAGTTTCAGCTTGATTCCTCTTTGTCCTGTAACCAAAGTATATTGTGTCTCCTGCAATAAGGCCTTACCATATAGTTCTTACCATCCAAGTGGGAAAACAAGGTCAATGGCAATATCCTGTGTTATTTTGAGGAAGTCTTGGGCTACCCTGACCAGTAATTTATATTGACATATCTTACTGGCACTGATATTTTCATTTAGTAAGCCATGTCTTCTGGGGGAACATTGTCCACCCATGTGGACCACCCTGTTCAAACTCCTTTTAAAAATGATTATGTTTTTACTCTAGCTTAAAGAAGTAGTGGATTCCCATATACGTTTCTCATAACAGCTTTATTTTGGTTAACTCGCTTCCCATACATTGTCTCCCCTGTCCACTTATTCCCACCCCTGTTTAATCAAACCTTAAGTCCCCAGTGTCTCCCCTCCCCCTTCGTATCCTGTGTACCAACTGCTTGCTTTTGATGGGCCTTGTGGTGCACATCTATAATCCCGGCATTCAGGCGACTGGGGCAGGAGGATGCCTTGACTACCGGTCTGGCTAGAATTAGAGTGAGACTTTGTCTGAAAAACAGACAGACAAGTACATGAGTTGAAAGGTATGGTTGTACTGTGTTTTAAGCTCACAGGTTGGCTGTTAAGTGTCTTAAAAGCCAACACTTGTTTG